GAATTATATGGTGGCGAAACGGAATAGATGATATCGAAATGATTTAACGCGATCACACCAAAGTTAAAAGATAATTACTTTTTCAAAATCGCTAAAAAATCATGAACAAGAGATCTCATTGCATTGCTGTAAAAAATCCGCGAACAAGTTAAAGATTTTTTTCAATTTGTTATTCTTTTTTTTGTCATTTTTTTTTCAATTTGTACTATCATATTGAATTCAAGGGATTTTTTGTGAACAAAATAAAGAATAATATTTCACCATATACAATTTTTAACCAAAAAAAAAAAAAAAAAAAAAAAATGAAATAATTGCGAAATAGGATGTTAACTGACATTAACCTTCAACTCCAGGGCCTACGTCATGGTTCAGCTGGGACTTTTAGAAAGAAAAGGTTTTATATCCTTCCAGAAATTCTTCCCAAACATTCAAAATACCTTAAATCGCAAGTCTTTATATCGATCATAACTCACGGATAAGGGAACAACCCGATTTCATATTTATATAACCATCTTTGATTTAAGCTATTTTTGGGGTCTTGGCCACTTTTTTCATTTTTTGGCCCTTATTTGCCATTTTTGTTTCTAAAGGGGTAGAGAACCTCTTCGCATACAATTTGAAATTTTCAGAGTTGGGCCCATATTGGTCTTGACCACATTCATCAATTGATTTGGCTAAAAAATTTAATTTATGCCACCCTGGGGTAGGGAACCATCATACAGATAATTACCACATAGGAATTTATTTAAGTAAAGTCCCCACATTGGAGTATCCTTAAGTAATCTTTCACATCTAATGTGTGGTCAGAAAAGAAAATTTTGTATTCTATTGAATTTTTAACCCCCAAGAGAATATTGGTTGGGAACGTAGATTTGGGATGTACATATATATGAAATAAATTGTGGAAACATGAACAAATTACAAATATAAGAAAGTAGCACGGGACCGAATATTTGTTGAATCATCATTGAATTATACTATGATGAAAATATGGACTTTAAGGGGTCTCCAACTTACAATTTAAATGGCAAATAAAATTAATTGCCATCTTATCATTCTGCCCTCAATTATGAGGCGGATAAAACTATTTTTACTGATTTAAATCACGCGAAATGCTATGACATGCTATATTTTTGATTTGGCCTCTATTTGTCATCTTGGATTATAAGGGGTAGAAGAAAGTTTTCAATGCAGGTCGATGTTTCGGAGTAGTGCCCATACAAAGAAGGTACCTCCTAATTTTACCATATTTCAAAGAATTTGGCTAATAATGTGTAATAGGGGGGTGAAAATCTAAGTGCTAATGGGTTTAAAAAAGTAATTATTTTTGGCTATTCTTAAATCCTTCAGCCCTCAATTATATAGTATACAAAATACAGTAAATTCCAAATTACTGCTCATTTGACTGGAAGATTTTGCTACGATTTTAACCATATTAAAAATTAATTTGATCCCTTACATGGCGATAAGATCGATATATACTTTTTAATAGATTTGTATAGCACATCCACACAGTTGAAGCCCACGGTTTAAATATTGAAGCCCACGGCTTTAAAAATGGGTACATGTATTTTAAAACACTTTTAATCGACCTGTACATAAACACTTATATCAGTCATATCTGTGAATGCTTGGACAAATGCGTAATAGACAAAAACTACTGGCCGGCAACGCGGACCGGGCCAGCTAGTAATATATATTTGATTTTTTCTACTTCAGTGAAAGAATCAATTTTTTGATTTTTTCATAAAAAAAGTAAACAATTTGTACATATTTAGCTATATGCATATGTGAAGAATAACACTAAACAACAAATCAAAATATTACGCTACGTATTAAAATTAAATGTCATACTATGGAAACGTATTCGACGTTTCGAACCGAAAAGTCTTTAAGTCAGAGTCGGTTTTTTAGTTGTAAAAAGGAAAAGTCGAATTTTTGATAATAGAGATTTGTCGAACAATCTAAAATCATAGATCCGAAATGCGTGCTAGTTTCACTTTATACTGTGAGTGTGACATGTGGTCTCAACAAGATGGTGTAACATACCACACAGCACGCATAACAATGGATTTATTGAGAGGTGAATTCGGTGAAGAATTTATTCCACGTTCGTGGCCGTTCGATTGGGCTCCTAGCCCTGCAGACCAGTGGTTCCCAAAGTTAACTGGATAGCGAACAACCCAATAAAGAGTTAAGAAATTGCGACTCACCTATTGGCTAACAAAAACGAACTTTTAATACCCTTCAACATTTGGAAAAACAAACTGTAAAATAATTCCATTAAAAAAATCTTAAAAATTACGAGTATTACGTGTTACGGTCGAATGGGGCTATACGAAAACGTGGACCTTTACAGGCAATTATCTACCAGATAAGGAGGTGCCTATTACGAACTCCAAACACAAAGTTTAAAATTATTCTGTTGAAAAATGTAGCTAAAATCATCAAAATACCGAATATCGGGGGGGTACCGTTATATGGGGGCTATACGATATTGTGGACCTATACAGATAATTCTCTGCCGAGGTGTAAAGTACCCACAAGGAACTCGTTTTGTGGATTTTTAGACAATTCCGTTGAAAAATGTGGGTAAAATCATCAAAATACCGAATATCGGGGGGTACCGTTATAAGGGGGATATACGATATCGTGGACCTATATAGACAATTCTTTTTGAGGAGGTAAAATGCCCACAAGGGACTCCCTTTGTGGAATTTCATACAATTCCATTGAAAAATGTGGCAAAAATCATCAAAATACCGAATACCGTGGGGGTACCGTTACATGGGGGCTATACGATATCGTGGACCTGTATGGACAATTCTCTGCCAAGGTATAAAGTACCCACAAGGAACTCCTTGTGTGGATTTTCAGACAATCCCGTTGAAAAATGTGGGTAAAATCATCAAAATACCGAATATCGGGGGTACCGTTACATGGGGGCTATACGATATTGTAAACCTATATAGATAATTCTCTGCCGAGGTATAAAGTACCCACAAGGAACTCCTTATGGGGATTTTCGGACAATTCCGTTGAAAAATGTGGTTAAAATCATCAAAATACCGAATATCGGGGGGTACCGTTATATGGGGGATGTACGATATCGTGGACCTGTATAGACAATTCTCTCTCAGGGGGTAAATTACTCGCAAGGAACTACTTGTGTGGATTTAAGACAATTCCATTGAAAAATGTGGCTAAAATCATCAAAATGCCGAATACCGGGGGGTACCGTTATATGGAGGCTATACGATATTGTGGACCTATATAGATAATTCTCTGCCGAGGTATAAAGTACCCACAAGGAACTACTTGTGTGGATTTTCAGACAATTCCATTGAAAAATGTGGCTAACATCATCAACATACCGAATGTCGGGGGTACCGTTATATGGGGGCTATACGATATCGTGGACCGATATAGCCCATCTTCGAAATTGACCTGCCTGCAGACAAAAGAGAGATCTGTGCAAAATGTAGCTTCCTATCTTAATTCGTTTAGACTGTAGCGTGATTACAACAGACGGACGGACAGGGCTAAATCGTCTTAGAATTTTACGCTGATCAAGAATATATATACTTTGTTGGGTCTAAAATGATTATTTCGCTGAGTTACAAACGGAATGACGAACTTAATATACCCTCCATACCTTTTTTGATGGAGGGTATAAAAACTGCAACAAAGTCAAACGCCATAATTTTTAATTTTTTTTTTAATTTAATTGAATGTGAAGCTTGATTTGTAGGTAGTTAGGAAAAAACTGAGAGTTCCTTAAGATGGGCGATATATATCCATTTACCACTTTAACTCTAATAAATTTACCTGCGTTCGAAAATAAACAGTACACAAACGATTTCGGGTTAATTGTGAACCAAATGGCCAATATAAGTCCTAATGACCTGAATTTGGGTACATCGCACCTAATTCAGTCTGGAAGCAAGTACATCAAATTTTGAGAAAATCGGTTCAGATATAGGTATATATATTTTTCATCCAATTTGGTGTTTTAAGTCCCTCACATGCATAATATTCACTCCGGACATTGGGATACTGCTCGAAAAAACCTCTGTCAAATTTTATCGAGATGGGTTCAGATTAGGATACAGCTCCTATATACGTCTTTATCTGATATCAGGTTTATTGTGAACCAAATGGCTAATATCAGCCCAAATGGACTGAATTCATCCTTTAAACCAGTACTTCAAATTTGGTGAAAATCGGTTCAGATATAGCTATAGCTCCCATATATATGTTTCATCCGATTTGGTGTTAAAGTTCCTCGCATTCGTAATATGCATTCGACCACAATGATATTTGGTACCAGATATCTTAGAGCTCAGAAATACCCTTATATAAAAGGTTAATATGTCTCCGTCAAATCTAGTAAAAATCGATTCAGAATTTGATATGCCTCCCCCATATATTAGTTCCCTCTGAAACCAAATTATAACTGCTCTTAAGCCAAATGATCTACTTCAAATAAATTCTTTTGTTACGGGAGCTTTACTAAATATGCAGAGTGGTGTAGGGTATCATATAGCCGGCCCCGTCCGACTTTTGACTTTTCCGCGCTGACTTTTGCATGAAAGACGAATATTATTCTCAATATATTTTTCATTCTACATGGGTGATCTCATTAACTCTGGCCCCTTAAAATTCCCATGCTCCCTCAATGGATCCAGACGAAATGTCGCACAGTGTATTTTCAGAAACAAACAAATATTTCGTCATGTCTGCATCCAGAAGCATATCAACAAACAGCCCACAAAACACTTTCAAGCTTTGTGTCATCACACACACAGCGCATAACATTAATGTTTCATTTCTTTCATGCGTTATTTTTTCTCGTTTTTTTTTTTGTTTCGTTTTCCCTTTTCATTATTTTTTTCGATGTGCAAATACCGGGATAGGGGTTCGCACGAAGAAGATAATAGAATTTTTTTATTTTTTTTTTTCATTCTTTGGGCTCCATAGAACGTTAACGTTGCTTGCAAACTGAATATACCAAAATTCAATCAGTCTTAGAACGAACATCAGGCGAAGCGCACATCCCAGTTGATGTGTGCGTGTGTATGTGTGCGCGTTTTTGTCCCAAATTATAAACAATAAGCATCATCAAATAAATAATATATAATAACAATAAAAAAAAAAAAAAACTAATTCGAAAAACATTAAATCATCAAGATGTGTTGTTGCACGGTCAGATGTTGGAGTTTATTCCTGGCCTGGTCAAATCTAATTGGCTGTGTTATTGGTTTTATTCTCACCGTGGCCTTGATATTCGTTGGCGCTAATAGCGAAATGCAGGGTAAATTGACAAAAGAAAATGTTAATTAATTCAGAAAAAAACTTTAATTTGTTATTGTGATATAAGGCATTTTGAATGCAAGCAAAAATATATTAAAAAAACAACTTGTGTATATCAAAAATTTCTAACGTTGCAAACATATGGCAAAGTTATAAGAATATATGTACATATCATAGATGTTTATATATGTACATATACAGTTATTTAATTAGTAATTAATTAAAATGAGTTAGCCACGTCCCACGTCATAAGCCTATCCCTGGATTATAATTATTGTACTCTAACACGAGATAACAAGGACCTAATCAACAGTTTATTATCTACTGACATTGTGAGTGTGGCGCCCAACTGTATGTCCTTGAAGTGTTTGAAAAAATGTTTTTGAAGTAAAAATTCATAATTTTTATCCAAAATTTATAAGCGTTGTATAAAATAAAGATAAAAAGTTTCAGTTGGTGTTCCGATAGATATATAGCCTCAGAATTTGGGCATATGAATTTAGTTATTGCAAGAGCCTTGGCCATATTTTCCGATCGATTTGACTGAAATCGGAAATTTGCAGATAACAGTTTTTCGGAATCAGTGCATTTTAAGTATATAGTAATACAGTAATATAGTGATACAGTAATACTGTAGATAACAAATAAAAAACATTAAGTTTTGCCGGGCCGAACTTTTAATACCCTCCACCTTTGGGTAAAGAAAACATTTTTATATAAAAATATCTGAACTTAAGCGTGTTTTTATTTTAAACTTCATATACCAGCAAGACCATTTGGATAATGCAGTAAACCTTATCAAAAAACTATAAAGTGAATGAGGCAGCTATATGGGATCATACCAAAACGGGAACCTCTATGGACAGTTTTTCACTTCAAGGATTTTCATCTATCAAATCTTCCAAAATACCAAATTTGAAACAGTTGTGTGTGTAAATGTGACTATAATTATCAAAATGTCGAGTGTCGGTGGGTATCGGTATATGTGCGCTATATGATAACGTGGACCTATAGTTTCAATGTTCTACCGCCGAAAATTTGACAAAAATAATCAAAATGTACCATTAAGTGGGGACTAAACGATAAGGTGGACCTATACATATTATGTTCCGCCACAGGAGCTAGAACCCATTACGAACTACAAATACCAATTTTTAGACAAATCCGTGGAAAAATGTGCAAAAATTATCAAAATATCGAATATTACCTGTCGATATTCGCTATTTTGATTATTGCGTTATATGGGGGCTATACCAATGTTTCGCCATACGAGCTAGAGCCCATTATGACCACAAATACCAATTTTAAGACAAATCCAATTTTAAGACAAATGTGGCAACAATCGTCAAAATACCGAATATCGGGAGGTACCTTTAAATGGGGGCTATACTAAAACGTGGACATATACATACAATTTTTCGCCATACGAGCTGGAACCCATTATGACCCACAAATACCAAATTTCAGACAAATCCAATTATTAAGACAAATGTGGCAACAATCGTCAAAATATTGAATATCGGGACGTACCTTTATATGGGGGCTATACCAAAACGTGGACATATACATACAATTTTTCGCCACCAGAGCTAGAAAACATTATGACCTACAAATACCAACTTTTAGACAAATCCGTGAAAAAATGTGGTAAAGAATCGTCAAAATAGCGAATATCGAGAGTTACCGTTACATGAGGGATATACCAAAACGTACAAATTGTTCTGCTAAATGTTGATGCTCTACGTCAAATAATGTGGGCTATATCTTGATTTCAACAGTCAGACAGACGATGTCCGTCTGTTGACTTAGAAATTTATGCTGATCAAGAATATATATACTTTATGGAGTCTATGGCGAATATTTAGGGATGTTACAAACGGAATGACAAAGTTAATATACCCTCATTTCCAAGGTGGAGGGTATACAAATAAGGAGAATATATTTAGGTCTCAAACGACTTAACGAAGGGGTCTTTCAAATCCTTTTTTTATACCTTACAACACTATGTGTTGGGGGTATTATAAATTTGATTGGGCCAAAAATTATGTAACTCCACGAAATATTGGTTTCCCACGTAGGAAAGTATATATGGATCTTCCTACCTCACCGAGCTGAGTCGATCTAGCTATGTATGTCCGTCCGTCCGTCTGTCCATGTTAATTTGTAATCACTCTACAGGTCGCAATTATGGCCCGATCCTCACGAAATTGAAAATGGAGGTGGGGTTGAGGCCAGAATAGAACCCTATTTCTTTTGGAGATGATCGCATAATATTTAGGGGTTGAAATGGACCAAAAACTGATAAATATCCCCTTTTATTGGAGTTGCTCTACAGGTCGCAATTATAGACTAATCGACGCGGAGCTAGAGCTTAGGGCTGGGCAGAAGCCTTCCAATTTTGATGGTCATCGGGTAATATTTAGTGGGTGAAATACACCATAACATTTGTGTTAAATAAAAGTCAAATTTTCCATTAAACCGCGAATATTTTTAATGCCGGCGAAATCATAAATATACGATCAGGTCAATTCTGACCGTTACGCAGATGCCGATAGTAAGAATATCGGATATATATAGCGAAATATATACAATTTGTATATAGAAAGGAAGGGGATGTTAGCTAGAATGCTTATATCTCAAAAATGGCTGGACCGATGTTGACAAATTTTGTCAATTTAAAATGCCCTTTTGGCATAAAAGTATAAAATCTAAAAAAAAATCGCATAAAAAGATGTCAATAATGATGTTCATATAGATTTTGTAGTATTTTGTGACATTTTTTTTTCATATTTTTTATCGCATGCGATTTTTTCAATTTGACTTATAATAGTGAATTGTACATTTTGTTATATTTTTTTACAACACAGGTTGGGGTTATTATATACAGATTGCAATTATCCTCACGAAAAAGGGTTGGGTTAGGCTCAGAATGGCTAGGCCTATTGTTTTCAAAGACGCCCGCAATATATTTAGGGATTGAAATGGACCAACAACTAAAAATGTTCCTGATGTTGCAGCCGTTATAAAGGCCACAAATAGAAACCAAAGGACACGAAATCTCGCATGAAGTTAGAATTTAAGACAGCGGGTAGAATTTACCACTACTTTTGTGTAAAAAAATACCAGCATTATTTACAGGTGATATCCGAAATACACAATAGGCGAACTTCTGGCTTTTTTGTGCTGATTTCTTTGACGAGTATAGCTAAATATCGTAGACAGTATGGAGACACTGAGGGGCCTCTTGTTTTTAGAGATGATCGCAAAATATTTCCTGATCACACAATTGAAGCCAATCGACACGCCTGAGAAGATAGTTAAGCACAAGGAAGAATTCTGGCATATATATATTTTTATATTTTATTTATATTTTGCCGTAAAAATGGACCACAATGGACCGCACGATGAAGTGCGTAAATATTGGGCAAATATTCCTGGTCAAAATGCTAAGGGTAATATGTGGGCAGTGCTCCGTGACATAATTTCAAAAGCAAAATCTTCCAAAATGGATTTGGACATAAGGGGGCTTCTAATATATTGTAGTGTTGTAGGGTATCACATGGTCGGCCCCGCACGGCTATAGCCTTTGCTTACTTGTTTTATTTTATGGTTTATGGGCAAAAACTTCATCGTAGGAAGCCAAAATATCCTACAAAATTATTTTTCACAAAGTTCTAATGTAAGTCCTTGAAGACGTCAAGTGTCTAAATGCTACCTAAACACCAGGAATTCCTATACATGTTTATTGTGCACCCAATGGTTAATAAAAGGCCGAATTGAATGGATTTTGGCACATATGAACGAATTTAGCCTGGGAGAAAGTGTATCCAATTTGGTGAACATCGGTTAACATATGGCTATGGGTCCCATAAATATATGTTTCATCCGATTTTGTATTTTACTCCCTCACATCCGTAAAATACATTACCGGTTTTTTGTTTTGCTCAATGTTATTAAAATTTAATTTTGTCGCATAGTTTTTTTATAATTTTTATAAAATGCAAACATATTTCGAATTCTAAAGAGTTGACGTGCTTTATGTACTTTTTTTCACAAGTTACTAAATTGAGACAAATTATCCGATAAAATTGTTTATCCGATAAGCATTTCGTCACCCAAATAGTATTCTACGTAGAATTTTTACAAGTGACAAATCAAATTGTGAATGTAAACACAATATGTGTATTATTAAGGAATTAACATTAATTTACATATGTACACAAGAGTTTTAATACTGGATTTTTATTAATCGCAAACTATCACTCAAACATTCAATTTATGAAGAATTCCAAGTCACGTTGCGAACTTTGTTTTTGTATGTCAACTGTGAATATTAGGTTTGTACAATATCTCAATAAGTCGCAGAAATTATTTCGAAATCTTATTCGATAGAAAAGTTTGATGGAAAAGTTCAGTAAATGAAAACGAGTGAGGAGAGCAATTTCATGTGAAAATAAAAAATATTTCATTATACCTAGTATCCATAGAATACAGCGTGCATTCTAAGTATGGGTTGTGGAAATCCCAAGTAGATTGGATTTGACTCGGATCAAACGGGGTTCTTAACCCAAAAATGTTTTTATATAATATATATATTAAAGAAAGTTGTGTTAGTTACTACGCTTATAACTCAAGAACCGATTCAGACAAATTAGGAATTGTCTCTTGGCAGAAATGGATAAAATCCAAACAATTTCGAGAAAATGTGAAATTTGAACCTTTTCATTTTGACTTTTGAAATATACAATAGTAATGTTTTATATTTCATGATTTTTTATACCCTCCACCATACATAGTATGGATTCCGGCCGAACTTACTGCTTTTTTAATTGTTCCTTGTTGACTTACTATTTTCGAATGTAGTTTTGACAGGAGATTGATAGAGAAAAATGAATTCCATTCTTACGATAATGGATGTAAAAGAGTAATTATGTTTGACTATTCTAAAATCATTCTGCCCTCAATTATGATATGGACAAAAGTAAATGCCACGCTGGACGG